ATTATAAAAGTAACACAATACAACAGAAAAATGACTTGAGATTTTTGGCTTGATGAGAGCATCTCTTTATATAACTGATCATTTTCAAAAACTTTTACATGTTACTTCACTTTATTCCAAATAATTAGACTAGAGGGATAAACAAGATAAGACATCACTAGCCACTAGGTAAAAAAACAAAGTAAGGCTATACATTTCTCATGGTTACATTAAGTAACAGTAAAGCTGGGACAAGAAACTTCCTCTTGACTTGAAGTTCAAGGCTTCTTCCTTTTGTCTGGCTGCATATCTTACCATATAACCTTGGACAAGTCATTTGGCATTTCTTTTTTATAGTTTCCTCATCTATAAAATAGGAATATCTGCAGTGTTATGCAAAGTGACCTAGGAGAAGGATCAAGTAAAGTAACCTATGTCAACACTGGAAAATACAATTGGAAGTTATGCATTAGAAAGTATGCCCAGTTTCCCTAAGAAAAACAAGGTGCAGGGTGCCAAAATGGGGGGCAAAATAAACTGTACTAGATTTCAACACACAGAGTTGTACTTAAGATCATCCATATAACTTTATGACTAATAAAGGCAAAGGATCTCTGTTCATAATTCTGTTATAGTCCCACAAGGCAAACATCAAGCTAGCAAAAAATACAATGTATTCACCTATGCACCAGACTCTAACAGTTAAGGATCCTATCAAACACCTGAATTACAGGAACAAAAGACAGGTTTTGCCTGCACCTCCCTAAAGATAGAAACAATGGTTTTTGATAGTCTACCCCCTGAAATTTTAATATCCTGCCTAAACCCCAGCATAGCTTCATTTTTTACACCTCAAATTTGCTCTGTCCAAATACTTGCTCTGTATTTATTTATAGGCACAGACAACTATTTAAAAATTTAGTTCTTAGTTACAATGGTTACATTTCACTTGTTCAATAGTATGGTTACTAGCATACTAGACAAACCAGATATAGATATGCCTTCGTAATTACAGAAACTTCTATTTCAAAGTTACTTTAGATACCATACCTTTATTTTTAATTACAACTCTGATCAACCACCACAAACTTATTTTGTGATCCTGAGAACTGAACTGAGGGCCTTCAGACTGAGTTACAGTCCCAGCCCTTTTGCCTTTCCTCTCCTCTTTTCTCTCTTGCTTCCTCTCCTCTCCTATTTTTGAGACAGAGTCTCACTAAACTATCTAGGTGGATTTGAACTTGTGACCTTTCAACTTAGTCTCCCAGAATGCTTGGATTAAAAGTGTGCACTACCATGCCTAGCTAAGCCCACAGACTTCTCGAGGACAGAAGCTACATCTTATTTATCTTGTATGCATTTGAAGTCCAGGTCAGATACCAGGTACGCACTATATATCTAAGTGAATACCTCAAATATAGCTGACAACTTTGTCTACTTTCCCCTCCCCACACACACACACTCCACACCATCAAACAACCAAACAAGACATCTATCTTCTCATACAGTAGGAAGGGGAAAATAATATAGAAGAGGACACTGCACCCGAAGGCAGAATTGTTTTCTAGTCCTGGAAGCTAAACATGTAGTCTTTGGTAATACATTTAATATCATTATAAAAAGTTAGAATTAAACTCCAAGGACCTTAATTTTAAAACTTTAATCATCTTGGGGCTGGGGATTTAGCTCAGCGGCATAAGCACCTGCCTGGCAAGCAGGCAGTCCTGAGTTCAATTCTGGGTACCAATAAAAAATTTTTTAAAAATTATAAACTTTAATCATCTTGCGCCACAGGATATATGAATTCTGTCCAAATGGTCTTTGTTATTGTCAGGGAACATACTTAAAAGCAATGAAGGGCACTAAATTAAATGGAATCTACTCCTAGGCTATCATGATTAGGCTATCATGATTAGAGGCACTTTCAGTCTTGAAGTAAATGTGGAATTTTTTACCACTATTTTAGTGTCAAATAGAGTTAAACCTCAGGCTTAAAGATTTAGTTTCCTCCATGTGCTGAAGACAGAACCTGATACTCTGTTTTTCTGATCAGAAAAACAAGGGCAAGTTAGTTTTTTGAGTACCTGAATTTAACACGAATTATCCCATTAATTTCTGTTCTAGTCCCAATCTAATCTTTTTTTTTTTTTTTTTTTTTTTTGTCTTTTTCATTTTTATCGGTACCAGGGATCGAACTCACGACCGCCTGCTTGCAAGGCAGGTACTTATGCTGCTGAGCTAAATCCCCAGCCCCACTAGTCCTAATCTAAAAACTGAAACAGTACTTAACTCAAAAAAGAAAATTATTCTATAACAATATTTATGCTGAATATTATTGTATGAATGTGTATTTTATTCAGTCCACACACTTCACCATTTAACTAAAAAAACTTTATTGTCCAAAAACCTCCTCATAATGACCTTCACAAACTCATCCACTTATTTTAACCTTACGTAATTTTAAGACCATCCAAGAACAAATACAATCAGAGCTACTGGCCTGCTTTTTGTAACAAATTATGAATATTGCAAGGTATGGTGGCAAACACCTCTAATCCTACCACTAAGAAGGCTGAGGCAGAAAGATTACCAAATTTGAGGCCAGCCTGGGTGACTTGGTGAGACCCAGTCTCAAAATAAAAAGGGCTGAGAATGTATTTTAGCACTTCCTGGGTTCAATCCCAGGTACAAGGGGCTAAGAAACCTTATATGGGGCAATGACAGTTTAGAAATTCTGCAATAAGTTTATATAGGATTTGTTAATTCCTCCAATACCAGTTCTACTATTCTTTATGTATTTTCTTATGGCATCTCTCATAGTGAACAGGATTAACTACCAACAGCAATTTCTTTATTTGCACAAGTTTCAAGGCAGTAGCATTTAGTGAACAACACTTTAGGGGTGGGGGGACACATGCAAAGCCTATTGGGAGTAGAAAGGTTTTCACTGATTGTGTCTGATTATGATGAAACCAGACATTAAAAATTAACTAACATTGTACAGTACATGGTTGTCCCGCACAGTGCCTTGCCGTTGTTAAGAACTCTTGCCATTGGTAAAAACTCTTACCAATGTTCTTACAAAGACATTAGGTTGAAAAGTCTAGAGCATTCCTAAGAAAAAAAGAACAAAACCCCATACACTAAGAACTACTAAACATCTACAAAAATGGGAATAAAGACGAATCTGTTTGTAATATGAATTCTGTCCATGACTCAAAGACTCAAACATTGCTTCACTGAAGTAAAGAGCTTTGCGAATCTCTGTGCCAAAGAACTGGAAGGAATACAAAGACAAAAAAACTGTGGTCCTTGTCCTCAAGCTGAACCTAATCTAAAAGGCAAAGAAGTACATAACAGAAAAATAACTAGTAAAGCCAGGCATGGTAGCTCACACCTGTAATTCCAGCACTCAGAAGGCTGAGGAAAGAGGATTATTGTGAGTTCCAGACCAACCTGGGCTACAAAATGAGTTCAAGGCCAGCCTGAGCTGCATAGTGAGACCCTGTTTCAAAAAGACCAAAAAAAAAGAAAGAAAAATGACTAGTAAGTTCCATCATGAAGCTGCTAATGAGTAGAAAAGCCAAAAACAAAGGTGGGTGGTGTCAGAGAAAAAGGCATCTTCAAGGGAATGTTGGAAATTATGCAGCCAGTGACAAGAAATGGGTATATGTACATTTATAAGACAGCACAAGGAAGGGGGAAGTGTAGAGTGGTGAGAAAGTCTGGAAGACTATCTAGCAAGAGGAAGACATTTGCAAAGAAGATCCAAAGGTGAAACTCTATACCCACGACAACTGCATACTTAGAAAAATTGCAAACCAGCAGTTTTGCATAATTATGTATACATTTTAGTGTTAGACTTGGTGGTGCTCATCACCCATGGTGACCCATGCCTGTAATTCCAGCACTCAGGAGGCTGAGGCAGGAGGCCAGCCACGAGTTCAAGGTCATCCTGGGCTACATGGTGAGTCCAAGACCAGTGTGAACTGCAGGCTGTCAAATAAAATAGAAGTATACACATTTTAAATTGACGCAGAATTTCTATGGAGAAAGTTATTTAACATCCCCATAGCCCACCACAAGATATAATGGTTGCCAGTGAGCTCAATAAGATCTCTATGGTTGTGGTTGTAACTTGCAGTTTTAACAAGTGCCCATTTCTCTAGCACAGTTAGCTGGTGAAACAGACACCTCCAGAGGTACAAAATTATCTAATATCATTTCCAAACTTTGCTGCACAGCAGTATCACTAGGCAATCATCAAAAAATATTGACACCTGGCTTCCACTCCCCATTCTTATCCAATTGGTTTGAGAGCCTATATTGGCATCAGGAATCTTTACAGCTTCCCAGATTACACTGTGCAACAAAGTTGGAGAATCAATGACCTAATTGTTAAGACCTTGAACTCTGGAGTTAAGACTCTAGAATACTAGAGTTTACCAGCTATATGACCTTGGGTACTAGTCATCTGCCACCCAGGACCTCAGTTGCCTCGTCAGTAAAATGGGGATAAAACCACCTTACAGGGTTATTATGAAGTTACACGTACAGAACGCATTGCCTGGCGCAAGGCCTGACGGGCAGCAAGCGCTTAATCCGGGTTCGCTGTCTACTCCCATCACTAACTCGTCCTCATCTGAGCGTCACTGTGCAATGGGGAGCATCCTCCCCACTGGGCGGCAGCAACTCTACCAACCTTTCATCTGGACCAAATTCTTCGCAGAGTTGTCTCCTCCGCCCCAGACCCGCCCCCACCCCCAGGGTGGTAGGAGAGCGCTGCGCTTTTCCTGGGCAGCTACCGAGGCTAGATTGGGTTTGCGCAGACCCGGCGGAGGGCTCTCGCCACCCTGACTCCCCTCGAAATCCTGAGATGCGCTCCCGAAGGCCGGGCTCCTGGAGCACCCAGAACCAAAATACAAGCGTCCGCAGACGGGCCACCGCGAGAGGGAAGGAGAGAAGACAGCGAGGAATAGGACAGGAGGGTACGGCCGCTGTGGGGCCGACCGCCCGGTTACCTGAGGCGACGGGCGGGGCCCGCATCGCTGGGGCGGGCGCCGCCGCCGCCGGCCACACTCGGCCTTCTGCCTCACGCGACCCGCGCCATAGGGCCTGCGCTTTTACTGCCCCGGCCAGCCGGCCGTCAGTCCTTAGGCCGTCAGTCCCACTACCCGTCAGTGTCTGTCCTAGGACGCCCGCGGAAGATGAAGGCCGGTCGGGCCGGCCGGCTAGGCTCTGCTCAAGCAACTTCCGACTGCCAGGGCGGCGGCGTCAAATAACTCCCCGGCTGAGTGGGTCACTGCGCGTGCGCAGTGCGCCAGATCAGTGACTTCTGCGGGGCCGAACTAGTAGCGTCAAATAATTCCCGAGACATGAAGCCGGAAGCTGCGCGTGCGCAGCTATCCCAGAAGGCCGCGCGAAGCACATTGCCTCTTTTCCGGCTCACAGAAGGAGAGGGAGGAGTAAAGCGGTTGTCCGTCTGTCTCTTCAAGGAGCAGCAAGGCAGACTCCACCTATGTCCCTGTGAGTGTTACTACGTTCTAGATTCTACCGGTCGTCGGTGAGGATGAATGAAGAGGCTTCTCTGCAAGATTCCGGCTGCCATCAGGTTCTTCGGAATTTCGCACATCCAGCCAAGCTCTCGTCCTTTAAAATGATACCGTACACCTGCTCCTTATTAAATGGACTTAGCATTAATTATCAACAGTGCCGTAACCAAACAGGTGTGGGTTAAAAAGATGAATCAGACATCAGATTTCGAGCGTCTCACTAAAGAGCTGACCCTGATACAAGAGCTAAGACACTAAAGGCAAGAGATACTAGTGTAACGCCTGCAATGCACCAGGCACCTTGCAAACAATACCACTTTCAATATTTTGGCTTCAACAAAGAAAACAATACTATTAGATAAGTACTGCTCAAGTACCTTCGGGATATAAAGAAGAAAACAGTTGGACTGAGAGAGGAGAAGAAGAAGGAATGATGGAATTCTTCCCGCAAGCCCTGGCCTTGAGATGATTGACCTTGGATAACTGGAGGGGGAGGGAACAAGATGTTCAGTTATGCCAGAGGTGCAGTTATCTAAAAAAAAAAGCAGAAGGGAACAAAGAAAATTGTACTCCACTCCCAAAAGGAAGAATGGAGGAAGTAGTGACAAAGGCACTGGTATCCTCAGAGAAGGGATAAAACAAAAAATTCTCAGTGAGATCACTCTCGTTCTCCAGGAAAATAGCTATGTTGAAGAGTAAATGGATTTGAAATCTGCCGGGGTTTAGTGGGACAAAGTTAAACACACTGTGACAGATATTTCAGGAAGCTCACTCAATATTGGAATATCCCGTCCATTTCTACACAGAGGCTAAATTTAAAGCAAAGTATATAGTACCCCAGCTTCCACACAGGGGTGACACAGTCCTGAAGAATGAAATATAAAACAAAGCACCAGACACCAAGAAAGGAAGTTTTTGGGAAAGTGTGTGTTCTTTACCTTTCCCCGACATAATGGTTGGAACTGAAATGTGATTATCTGGAGATGCAGCAACCATCTTGAGACCTTGAGGACTGTTCCAAGCAGAAAAACAAAAGGAGCCTACTTCTTTAGGACATACTGAAGCACTGCATGTATCTTATACTACTTTTTTGTTTTATAGGCTGGGGTGTTATGCCAAAGTTAGTTGAGCTTTTTGTTACTTGCAACCAGTGACAGTTGTAACACTAATTATTAAACACCTGTAAGATATGGGTAACAAATTAGAAGAGCAGCAAGTGATGGTAATTGTAAAATTAGGCACAGAAAACTGGGACACTGTTTAAAAACCTTTAAGATAATAAAAATAATACCTCTACCCCCTATCTTGTGGCCTTAATTCATTTCTAAAATTGTGTCTTTAAGGAAAGTTATATGAAAAACATGTGCATTTCCATTAATTTAAATGGGAAAAGTATTAAATTCCAATCTACGGCACGCAGATGTTTTATTTTTATTTCACAAAAATGTAAAGATACCAATAAAGAATCTGACATGTTGTGAACCCTGCTTATAAATCTCTGAGTTGGTTTGCTTGTTGCTGTAGTCAACCTTTGTCCAGATCAATGTCCTGAAGCATTTCCCCTACATTTTCTTGTTTCATAGTTTTGAGTCTTACTTTTTTTTTTTTTTTTTTTTTTTTTTTTTTGTCTTTTTCCTTTTTATCAGTACCGGGGATCGAACTCACGACTGCCTGCTTGCAAGGCAAACACTTATGCCACTGAGCTAAATCCCCAGCCCCAAGTCTTACATTTAATTTTTGATCCATTTTAAGTTGATTTTTGAATATGGTGAGAACAGACTAGTTTCTTTCTTCTGCATATGGAGATATCGTTTTTCAGCATCAGCTATTTAAGAGATTTTGTCCAATGTATGTTCTTGCTGCCTTTGTTGAAATTCAGTTGGCTTTAAATATATGAATTTAGAGGCCAGGAATTTAGCTCAGTGGCATAAGCACCTGCCTGGCAAGCATGAGGTCATGAGTTTGATCCTCAGTACTAAAATAAATATGTGAGTTTACTTCTGTTTGTGTCTCTGTTTATGCCTATCATTCTGTTTTGGTTACTGTTATTTTGTAGTATGTTTTAAACCAGGTATTGTAAAGCTATAATAAATATTTTAACTGAAAAAGTGCAATAATGCAAAGAAAACTTATGTAAGGAACTAATAATTTTGTTTCAATATAACTTTTACAGAAAAGAGAAGGTATAAAGACTTATTGTTCTGGCTGGGCAGACAAGAGTTAATATTAGGTGAGGCTTGGCAGGGAATTGTGGTACATGCCTGTAATCTCAGCATTCAGGAGACTGAGGCAAGACTGCTGCTAGTTTAAGGTCAGCTTGGGCTACAAGGTGAGTTCAAGGCCAACATGAACTGCATAGTACTGCATAGGGAGACCCTCTCTCAAAAAGACCCAAAAACAACAAAAAAGTGTTCACAGAGGAGAAACAGAAGCAAGTCATTTGTTAAAAGGTCATTTTTTCCCTGCACTTTTAAGTTCCCAAGAGCTTCAGTTAAATCAACAACAACAACAACAAAAAAAAACCCACAATACATGTATACACACACACCTTGAGGGAAAATTAAAGACTAGACATCCAAACACTGAAAAAGCATACAGGTATGATAAAGTAAGAGATGCATGAGACACTGTACAGCTGGGCTTGGTGGTACACACTTGTAACCCTAGCACTTGAGAGGCTGAGGTAAATGGCAGGATGGATGTTTGGAAAACAAAACTCTGTCACAAAAGCTTGTCCTGTTGCTTCTTTAGTGCAAAGTGTTATTCTGACATTACAGTTGCAGACAAAAACACTCCTCTATTTGTTCTGCTTTTGTCAGCATCCCTGCTATGGAACAAGTTTGAATTGTGTGCTGTGTTGCAAAAATATAGTATGTTTTCATTTTTTGTGATACTGGCACTCAACCCAGGAGAAATCTACTACTGGGCTACATCCCCATTCCTTTTTAAAACAAAGTCTTGCTGAATTGCCCAAGCTGGACTCAAACTTGTAATTCTCCAACCTCATCTTCTCAAGTAGCTGGGATTACAGGTGTGCACTACTGTGACTAGATTCAAAGGGCCCCAGTCTTTAGGTATCAAGCCCCTGCCTCCATCCAGTACCAAGAGGAGCAGAGACAAGCTGGTCCTGTTGACCTCAGCCCATAGAATAGCTTTAAGAGTAAAATAAATTTTTTGGTTTTTTTTATTTTGTAACAGGGTCTCCCTATGTAGCCCTCATCTAGCCTCAAATTTGCAAGCCTCCTGCTTCAGTCTCTTGACTGCTGGTATTACAGGCATATGTCTCACTGCCTGGCTCAAAATTGTCATTGTTCCTTCAATAAATAATCATGGAGGTCAATAATTGAACAATGGATTAACCCATCTACCAGCTTTTGCAGATATGTTTAAATTTCAATCCCTCTAAAGCAGATAACTGACACACAGAAGTTAAAACTTGTCACCCAGGCACCTTGCAGGGTGGGACCAGGAAATTCTGTGACTCTGAAAACAGTGTTCTTGCACACACTGTAGGATGTGTGCCATGTGGACAGCCGTCTTTGAGCATCTCCTTGCATCCTCAGTGCTGTTCATTGTGATTTGGAGCCAAAAAGCTCAGGTGTTTTAACGTGAAGCTTTCAGAAGCTGATTGAATCTTTAAGGCTCTAACTCATCAGGAAGATTATTTATTGATCAGCTCATAACTTGATGGCATTATTACAGATAATGGAAATTTAGGAATTAGCATCTAATTGAAGGGAGTGTGTTATGCAGATGTGACTGCTATAGTCTTCTCTATTTTCCAGACTCTTCAGACTCTCTCCACAACTCCCTAGAGTACTGTTTATCTAGATTCTCATTCATGTGCTATGTAGTTTGGTCTAGACAAGTTGGATCTGTCCTGAACACGGACTTTTTTCCTTGCTGTTATTTCCTAAACAGCATAGTATAACAATATTTTGCATTCTATTAAACGTTGTAAGTAATGGAAAGATGATTTAAAGCATATCGGAAGATGCCCATGGAATATATTAAACACTGCAGCACTTCATATACAGGACGTCAGCATCATGCATTTTACTATCCTCAAGGAATTCTGCAACTGATCTGCTTTGAGTATTTTATCTTGTTTGTTTTTAAAGACAGGATCTTTCTATATGAGTCACGTTGGCCTTGAACTCACAATGTAGCCCAGGCTGGCCTTGACCTTCAGGGTCCTGCCTCAACCATTGTGGGGTGACTGTGTAAGCTGATAGCTGTTCACAGGATGTGGTCCCAGTGCTTAGCATGCAGGCTAGCACTGAGTGGGTGCTGTGTAAGTAAGCAGTGACTGACTGAAGGAACAAACTCTAGTAACGTGTGACCACTATGCACTCAAAATGAGGCTGGCCTAAGTGGAGATGTCCCATAAATAAAATATACACTATGCAAGATTTCGAACAATTCGTTTTAGGAAAAATCTTATTAATATTAAATTTATTAGTAAAATGTGTTTCCCCAGCTTCTTTTCATACTTTATCTGAAGTTACATATGTGGCAGGCATGGTGGCTTACTCCTGTCATCCCAGCACTCAGAGGCTGAGATACAAGGATCACTATGAGTTTGAGGTCAACTGTGGCTACAAAGTGGGTTTATAGGCATCCTGAACTGCATAACAAAACCCTGTCT